CCAGTCTCTGACTAGAGTAGAGTTGATGATCAACTCCAGTCTCTGACTAGAGTAGAGTTGATGATCAACTCTGTAGTCTCTGACTAGAGTAGAGTTGATGATCAACTCTAGTCTCTGACTAGAGTAGAGTTGATGATCAACTCCAGTCTCTGACTAGAGTAGAGTTGATGATCAACTCTAGTCTCTGTCTAAAGTAGAGTTGATGATCAACTCTAGTATCTGTCCAGAGTAGAGTTGATGATCAACTCTCTGGTCTCTGACTAGAGTAGAGATGATGATCAACTCTCTGGTCTCTGACTAGAGTAGAGATGATGATGATCAACTCTCTGGTCTCTGACTAGAGTAGTGTTGATGATCAACTCTAGTCTCTGACTAGAGTAGAGTTCATGATCAACTCTAGTCTTTGACTAGAGTGGAGTTGATGATCTACTCTCTGGTCTCTGACTATAGCAAGCATGATGATCAACTCTCTGTTCTAGAATGCAAAGGCGATGATCAACTAAAATCTCTAACTAGACCTTTTGACTAATATTTGATAAGAATAATATAACGGAAAACTTTTTTTAATTAAAAATTTTGGATGATCAGTACGAAGAAAATTCAGATATTATTACTTTCGGATTTGAGCTTGATCAATTTCAAATTCGGTTAATACAATAAATAAATGTTCAATGATCGTTTCACTTTGTCAATTGCGGCTATAAACGACATAAATAAATATTAGAAATCTTTGTAGTTTTTTTTTTCAAATATTTCAACCAGTTTCTTTGCAGCCGTCTTATTTTGGGAGAAGAGTTTAAAATGCCAAATGCGTGGTTGTTCATGAAACCAGATTTGTAGTTTTTTCATTACAAATAAATAATTTTTTTTATACAAAAGATGCAGAAAGAAAAATATGAAAAAATTATTTTAAATGGAAAAAAAAATCTAGTATTACGACTAGGGCGGCAGGCAAAGTGAACGAACCCAGTTTGTAGCATTTAACCAGTCATTTATAGACATCATATGGGATTGTTAGTTGGTTGTGATGGTAGAGGTAGGTGAAGGTGGAGGTGGTATTTCGATGATGGCAGTTTATGGTGCTGTACTGGTGATATTGAAAATGTGCAATGCATTGCAAATTAAACGCTTTTAACCAAATGTGGCTGCACATGCCAAATAGAGCTAGCAAAATGTGATTTTCATATGTATATTTTTTGCTGTTCCATTTGTCATTATTAAATAATATAAAAAAAAAACTCATATATGACTTTGATGATGGCTGTGGGAGAAAAAGGAAACAGTGATGATGTCTACGCATACACAATGTTTCAGTCATTCATCCCCGAGTAAAACAAATGAGGCATTGCGACATTTATTATGATGCCTTAACATTCCCCGCCAACAAACAGATCTTAGCAAAGTATTTGTTTTTGCTACATCCAAGGGCTGGCTAGCTGTCTCATGTTATTCGCACTAATAATGCAACAACAGCAGGTTTTAAAGGAAGTAGGCAGATAAAAATAGTTTTCACTTTCCTTTTCATATTTTACACAACAGCCAGCAAAAAGAAACATAATTTTTCAAACGGTAGTTTTTCTCAAACAAGGGGAATTTCTTCATTCCCACTGTTTACTTGGGAATAGGAAAATATTACTGTTGCTGTTGTTGTTATGACAAGATCAGGATTTACTATGTCAATTTCAAATTATCAGTGTCTAAATGTCTTCATTTTGAGAGCATCTATTGTTTGCTGAACAATAGCTCTACTTGCACTTGACTATTGAGTATTTTCAAGGGTGGTTTCAAAGTAAATGAACTTTATGAACTACATTGTTGTAATTATTAGAATTAGAGGTTGTTGTTGTTATAAGGATTTTTGGAAATATTGTTTTTGAACATATTTCTTAAGATTTTTACACCTATTCTTATAATGAGAAAATGCTGACTGCAGGTGCTTTTGGAAATTGTAACATTTGCGTTATTTTCTGGGATTGGTTTACGAACTTTCTCACGATTATTATTAGTTTTTCAAATATGTTTATAACGATCTTGAGGTCTTATTACCAACTGGAATACCACTCAGAAACCTACAATATCGAAACTCTTAGACTAAAAATCTCTTCCCAAGTAATATATAAATAGTCTCTTCTACAGTCTAGTCTATAGTCTAGTCTATAGTCTAGTCTATAGTCTAGTCTATAGTCTAGTCTATAGTCTAGTCTATAGTCTAGCCTATAGTCTAGTCTATAGTCTAGTCTATAGTCTAGTCTATAGTCTAGTCTATAGTCTAGTCTATAGTCTAGTCTATAGTCTAGTCTATAGTCTAGTCTATAGTCTAGTCTATAGTCTAGTCTATAGTCTAGTCTATAGTCTAGTCTATAGTCTAGTCTATAGTCTAGTCTATAGTCTAGTCTATAGTCTAGTCTATAGTCTAGTCTATAGTCTAGTCTATAGTCTAGTCTATAGTCTAGTCTATAGTCTAGTCTATAGTCTAGTCTATAGTCTAGTCTATAGTCTAGTCTATAGTCTAGTCTATAGTCTAGTCTATAGTCTAGTCTATAGTCTAGTCTATAGTCTAGTCTATAGTCTAGTCTATAGTCTAGTCTATAGTCTAGTCTATAGTCTAGTCTATAGTCTAGTCTAGTCTAGTCTAGTCTAGTCTATAGTCTAGTCTATAGTCTAGTCTATAGTCTAGTCTATAGTCTAGTCTATAGTCTAGTCTATAGTCTAGTCTATAGTCTAGTCTATAGTCTAGTCTATAGTCTAGTCTATAGTCTAGTCTATAGTCTAGTCTATAGTCTAGTCTATAGTCTAGTCTATAGTCTAGGTCTATAGTCTAGTCTATAGTCTAGTCTATAGTCTAGTCTATAGTCTAGTCTATAGTCTAGTCTATAGTCTAGTCTATAGTCTAGTCTATAGTCTAGTCTATAGTCTAGTCTATAGTCTAGTCTATAGTCTAGTCTATAGTCTAGTCTATAGTCTAGTCTATAGTCTAGTCTATAGTCTAGTCTATAGTCTAGTCTATAGTCTAGTCTATAGTCTAGTCTATAGTCTAGTCTATAGTCTAGTCTATAGTCTAGTCTAATAGTCTAGTCTAGTCTATAGTCTAGTCTATAGTCTAGTCTATAGTCTAGTCTATAGTCTAGTCTATAGTCTAGTCTATAGTCTAGTCTATAGTCTAGTCTATAGTCTAGTCTATAGTCTAGTCTAGTCTAGTCTCTAGTCTAGTCTATAGTCTAGTCTATAGTCTAGTCTATAGTCTAGTCTATAGTCTAGTCTATAGTCTAGTCTATAGTCTAGTCTATAGTCTAGTCTATAGTCTAGTCTATAGTCTAGTCTATAGTCTAGTCTATAGTCTAGTCTATAGTCTAGTCTATAGTCTAGTCTATAGTCTAGTCTATAGTCTAGTCTATAGTCTAGTCTATAGTCTAGTCTATAGTCTAGTCTATAGTCTAGTCTATAGTCTAGTCTATAGTCTAGTCTATAGTCTAGTCTATAGTCTAGTCTATAGTCTAGTCTAGTCTAGTCTATAGTCTAGTCTAGTCTATAGTCTAGTCTAGTCTAGTCTAGTCTAGTCTAGTCTAGTCTAGTCTAGTCTAGTCTAGTCTAGTCTATAGTCTAGTCTAGTCTAGTCTATAGTCTAGTCTATAGTATAGTCTATAGTCTAGTCTATAGTCTAGTCTATAGTCTAGTCTATAGTCTAGTCTATAGTCTAGTCTATAGTCTAGTCTATAGTCTAGTCTATAGTCTAGTCTATAGTCTAGTCTATATTCTAGTCTATAGTCTAGTCTATAGTCTAGTCTATAGTCTAGTCTATAGTCTAGTCTATAGTCTAGTCTATAGTCTAGTCTATAGTCTAGTCTATAGTCTAGTCTATAGTCTAGTCTATAGTCTAGTCTATAGTCTAGTCTATAGTCTAGTCTATAGTCTAGTCTATAGTCTAGTCTATAGTCTAGTCTATAGTCTAGTCTATAGTCTAGTCTATAGTCTAGTCTATAGTCTAGTCTATGGTCTAGTCTATAGTCTAGTCTATAGTTAGTCTATAGTCTAGTCTATAGTCTAGTCTATAGTCTAGTCTATAGTCTAGTCTATAGTCTAGTCTATAGTCTAGTCTATAGTCTAGTCTATAGTCTAGTCTATAGTCTAGTCTATAATCTAGTCTATAGTCTAGTCTATAGTCTAGTCTATAGTCTAGTCTATAGTCCAGTCTATAGTCTAGTCTATAGTCTAGTCTATAGTCTAGTCTATAGTCTAGTCTATAGTCTAGTCTATAGTCTAGTCTATAGTCTAGTCTATAGTCTAGTCTATAGTCTAGTCTATAGTCTAGTCTATAGTCTAGTCTATAGTCTAGTCTATAGTCTAGTCTATAGTCTAGTCTATAGTCTAGTCTATAGTATAGTCTATAGTCTAGTCTATAGTCTAGTCTATAATCTAGTCTATAGTCTAGTCTATAGTCTAGTCTATAATCTAGTCTATAGTCTAGTCTATAGTCTAGCCTATAGTCTAGTCTATAGTCTAGTCTACAGTCTAGTCTAGTCTAGTCTATAGTCTAGTCTATAGTCTAGTCTATAGTCTAGTCTATAGTCTAGTCTATAGTCTAGTCTAGTCTAGTCTATAGTCTAGTCTATAGTCTAGTCTATAGTCTAGTCAATAGTCTAGTCTATAGTCTAGTCTACAGTCTAGTCTATAGTCTAGTCTATAGTCTAGTCTATAGTCTAGTCTAGTCTATAGTCTATTTAAAATAAAAACAAACATATTGATTCACCCTGTTGCATTTTATAGCCTTTTCAAACACCTTTTAGTGAATACACAAACCTTTATAATGCTGTAGCAATTAATCACAATAACATTCCTTATGCTATTCAGCCAATCACAATAACATAATACAACTGACAGACAGTTTATAAACAAAGCTACCACTTGTTTGGTTGGTTACTTCAAATTCCTTTAAACGCAGTGGCCACTTTAAACTAAAGCACAGTGTAAAAACTTGACATTTGAGAAATAGCAACAAACAATCACACAGTTTTTTGAAGTTTAGTTTTATTATTGTTGTTGAGTTTGCGCGTCATACAAGAAGAAAAAAACAAGTGCAATAAATTACAGAACTATGTGAAAAATTGAAGAAAAATAATAAATAATATATTTATTAATAAAAGAATGAAATAAATAAAGTAAATATTTATTAAGTAAAGTGGTAAAGTGTGAAAGCTTTAAGAAATTTGTGAATTAAATTTTATAATAAAAAAACATTTGTTTAAGAGGAATTTGTTATTAAAAATTAAAAGAGTGTTTTTGTAAAAAAGAGTGTGAAGAAAAACAAGAGAACAAAATCAACTTGTTTAGTGAAGTGCGAAATGAAAAATCCTTTAGTAATTTTTGGTTATTCGGAGCAGACGGTTGCTTAAAACGCTTGACGGTTTAGTGAAAGTCATTAAGAAAAGAAAAAAAGTATTGGAATAGTTATTAGAAGAATTAAAATAGATTTAATCAATAATTTAAAAAAAAATCTTTATTTTTTAAGAATAAGGAAGTGGTTGCTTATTTTAGAAATTCCTTTAAATAAATTGTATTATTTTGTAAAAGGAAATTCGGTATTTTAACATTTTTAAGGTGATTTTTGTTTTCTCTTGTTAATTGCTGTAGTTTAAGGGGTGGTTTGTGTGAGGCTTTTAGACAGTGAAAAAATGTGTCTCGTCCTGTACGTCCTCTGATGCGAACGACTGACTGTTTATCCAACTAGAAACAAATACAACAAAAGAGGACAATAAAAAAAGCAAAAAAAAAACGGAAACTAATAAGAACAGTAAAACAAAGATACCTCCCCCCGCTCATTATATGTATATCCCCCCTCTTGTTAGAAAAATAACAGCAGAAACTGTTATAGGAAAAAAATAGAAAAATCAATAAATTTACATTAGAAATCTAAGAAAATAAAAAATTAAAAAAATTAAATAAAATTTTTTTTTTTTTTTTTAAATCAATTTTAAAAAAAGTAAAGAAATCTTTAAAATAGTGTTTAACCTGCCGTCTCAAAGTTTGCGTGTCTTTATTAAATAACAAATTATATCAAAATCCCTCCATTCATACATTTAACAACATTATCGCCGTCATAAAGTTTGTCGCCGTTACGAAAGTTGTCGCTCTCTCGTTGTCGCATACTCGTCGGCGTGTAATCGTGCTTGCTTTTGTGCTAAATTCCTTAACACCCTCTATTTTAAAAGGAATCAAAGGAAGAAACAAAAAAAAATAATAAAATTAATGTTATAAAACAACAACTTAAATGACCTCCATTGGCTCCTTTATGTGCACGTTGCCATACTCTATTATTAAAGTCCCCTCTGACTCATAAAACTTCATTAATACGGTATTTACGTATAAGAAAAAGCAAAAAAAAAAAAACGAAGCGAAAAAAAGAGTTGCATGTTACTATCTAACAACAAAAAAACCATAATAATAAAAATTTCTAAAAATCCCATAATCAAAACGCTAACATATAAACGCGTCTCTTAGACGCCTGCTTTAAATATTGATTTAAAATAAAAACATATATATATTGTTCTCCCACTTAAGTTTATTAAACTTTCTACATCATGTTTTAGTGCTTAATTTAATAAAATTTATAAAAAAAATCTATTTAAAGCATAAAAAATTTTGTTGTGTTCTTTAAAACTCGTTATAAATCAAAGTTAAAATTTCGTTAAAATGAAAACCCGTTTAGTTTCGTTAACTTATCGCGGCAGTGCTTCGGTTGATCCGCGTTACTCAGCCGCCATGTTGCCCTGGACTATAAATGATATACGATCGACGGAGAGTTATTCAAAGGTATGTTTACTATTTTTAATTTCCTAAAAACAACTTGAAAACCCACAGGTCAAAGGTTACATGTTAGTGAATTTTTGAATATTTTGAATGAAAATTTACGAAATCGGTTTGAATTTTGAGAAAAATTTTTAATAATCTAGAAGGATTTTTCAATAAGAGCGATGTTAAAAAAACTTGTGGGTGACTTTTAGCTGAAACATCAGGAATTTCGCTTTCGATACTCTTCTACAGTTGTATGCTTGTGAGCATAGACTAGTAATTTTAATGAAAACGGTCCATGAGGGATAAATGGCTAAAACGGAGAGTCATAACTCGCTCGCCGAACATAGAGGCGAATTCCAATTCCTATGGCTAAAAAGTATTTTCAATAAGTTTTAGTTCGCTAATTTATTGTACCATCCATTTATGTAGATAGTGGACTTTCAAAGCATAGGATCAGATAACAGATTCTTGACCAGTCCTCGATCTCTATTGGTTTTTTACCCATTAGAGCTTGTTGGCATAGACTAGTAATTTTAATGAAAACACTAAATGGCTAGAACGGAGAGTCATTCGCGAGCACATTTGGGTAAGATAACTCGCTCGCCAAACATAGAGGTGAATTCCAAAGATAGCTATCGTAAGGGGAGTACTTCCAGTAAGCTTTAGTTTACTGTCGAATCCATTTATGTAGACAGTGGACTTTCAGAGCACAAGACCAGATACCAGATTCCTGAACAGTCCTAGCTTAGGACCCAGGGAGTAGGGATACTTTATACTAAGTTTATAAGACTGCAAATACATTGGTGTGATGTCAATCTCATGATCATCACATTCCTTTTTAACTCGCAGCCCATGATTTCTATTGTTTTTTTGACCTTTGAAGCGATAGTATGATTCTCTAATTTATTTTTTGACCACACCTTTTGTTTACTGCACTGGTCTTTTCGAATTTTGTCCACTGCAGAGGTCTTTATAGTGTCTACTCTTGGCTACTTTGGTATAAAATGGCGGCTCTCTTCACTTTTCAGCGTCTGGCTTCTTATCTTCGCTATTGTAGGGGCATTTCATTCTAGGTTGATTTGGCCGACTTGCTCGCCTTAGCAATAGATTACTAGGCTTTGTCTTTCTTTGAGAAAAGATTTTTCACTGTTCCCAGTTCTTCGAAAGATTTTCTGCTTCTCTTAGTCTCGGAGATAGAGAAAGAGACCGATGTCTCCTTCGGAGTGTCCTATGTTTGACTCAATATGATATTTTGCAGTATCTTCTTCTACGACTTGCTCTTTGGTTAACTTTGCTGTCATTCACCCCTTCCGCCATTCGCTCTTCTATATACTTGCTGGTGTTGTTATTATAATCTGAGGATTCAAAGCCTGAACCCTCACTCGTATTAAACAGCTGATGTTGTTTAGAACTCCCTTCAAGTATATCTTTTTATTTTTTACAAATGGCATGCTGTACACCTGTCGCATTGTTCGGCACGGAGGATGAGGTACCTATTTCCGTAGTAGTCCTTTGCTCAGGATCAGGATAGATCATTTTGTCATCTTGCCGGTACTGTGTTATTTTGGGCCTTCTACTGATTGGTTTTAGGGGAACCCATAGCCAATTTTGATCTACTTTAGTGGACATTTTGTCCTACCTTCTCTGAGGTGAAACCATTGGTGGGAGAGCACAGATTATCCAAACATTTTCGATGCCACAACTAGGACAATTTAAACATCATTTTGCATTAAAGTTTCGCCCAAGATTCATTAATTATATTCGATTCGTCATAACTAAGGGAATACAATCGTTCTTTCGTGACTCAGTTTCACCAGATATTTGCATAAGTATTTATAACAATTTCCATATTTAACCCGCGGACATCTCGTAAGAAGCTCTGCCCTGAAAACGTTGCGAGACATCAGACAATCAGAGAAAAATCTAAAAAACCAATCTTATCAATTTCCAAACTTTCATGTCAGTGGTCGCTTTATTTTTAAAACTATTAGTGTAGGCAGGGGTTGCATCATTCCGAAGGATAGTGCCGTGACTCCTTTGATTGAAAAAGCACGAGTTTCTCTTTCTACAAATGCTCATTCCTTTAAGTATCGTCCGAATAAGCAACTATCCTGCCTCTAGTAATACCATTTCTTGTTCAAAATAGTAATTAACGATTCTGTTGTTCAGCACTTTACTCGTGTGGTTAGTACGATGAAAAGCTATGCATTTCTTAATCCATAGCTTTTCATAATCTTCGCTAAACCTTGAATAAGTAATTTGGTCATATGTCCTTAACAAGGGTATTCGTTCCCTCTACAAAATTTTTGAGGATTCAACAATTGAAGTAAGTTACATTTTGCCTCTTGGAGACTCGGTTTCTTTTGGAATTTCGCCCATTATCGTATTACTAAAACTTCGTTAATGAGTAAACCAAAACGCTTACCAAGGAAATCCTTTGTTATAAAGCATTCCTAGCATTAATCAATCTGAGTCATCTTTAGTAGTTTTTTTTTCATGCTAAAGAAAAGCGTAGTTCCTACCAATATTGTTGTATTTTTTACGAGTATGATATAAGAAAGTTAAATCATGAAGATGATTCGTTTTTTTTTTTTTTTTGGGTTTCAACGCAATTATTGATTTGTCCTTGTAGATTGTTTATAAATATTTATTTACGTTTTCACTTTAAGTGTGACAATAAATTGCGAACACGCACTTCTTAGTTAAATAGATAAGTAAATTTTGGAAACGAAATGTTCAAATGTGACTAGTTGGAATTTGAAATATGCTTTCATATGTTTAAGACAGGTTCATTGGCTCGGGTGTTTACGTTGGATCCTATTTCCATGGCTCGAATCCACAAATAGTGCGATGTTGTCTTAAAGGACCTCTAAAGTTGTTAGTTTGAGGGCATAGTTCAAAAGAAAGAAGTCTAAAGAGATTAAATTGTCCGTTGATCCATCAATAGAAATTGAATAACTTTCCAATGTTCTCAAGCGGATATCTTTCCAAAATTAAATGACAAAGACTAGCGTTTTAAATTGTAAAGGGATAGCGAAACCGATTTCTCTTCTCTGCATGAAATGTCAAAAACGAATCGATCTTAAATTCCGCTGTTGTGTGCAATAAACTATTTGTTCAGACAGAACTTAATGATCTTAGAGTCTTTGATTTCATTTCTCACTTATAAAGTGTTCAATATTGGAAGATTTGCCATTATAAGTATCATTTCAATGATGTCGGAAATTTATATTTGAATGACATAAAAGTGGATTTGTCTGCGGAAGATTCATAACTCTTCTGAAACTATAGGAGTCAGAACAAATCAATGATTTCTTCGAGAGCTGTCAGATCAGATACACGTTAATGATTTCAGAAATTGTTGCGTTAGATACAGATTAATGACTTCAGTAACTGTAATTCAATGACATTTCACAAAGTCAAACCAACAACATTGGATATTCTGGAAGTGATTGTGATAACTTCGGAACGTCGTCCATGAATGAGTGTCGTGTAAGGTATTCCCGCAATAAAATTTGGAGCACAAACATACGTCATTAGTAATTCTCGAGATATTGCAGTGTTATTAGGATTTGAAGCAGTTTTGTATATCCTTTATGAGTATCTGATGGTTGGATCGACAAGCTATCGGATACTGTTGGCTGGACCTGTTATGTAATGCATTGATTTTGGGTATTCTTTAAAATTCAAATGATCCAAGTTCTTGATATTATCCGCTAGGGTTGAAAGTCAAATGCAAATCAATATCTTTAGATATCGTACTTTAAGTATCACAGAAAAAAATTACAAATTTTATTAAGTAATTACATAAATATGTTAAGGATCAATTGACTTTGTTAACAATTTTTTTATTAAAATGTTTGTAAATTGGTAATATTTACAATTTTCCTAAGTTGTCTCAAAATTCATAATAAAAGAAATAGAAAATACAATTGTCAAAAAGTTTTAATTTAAAAAAACATTTAAAATAATCTAAAATTCAAAAAGGAAATTCCGCATGCAAGATATGAACTAGATGAATAAAAGCAATCTCTAAGGTATGTAGAGTGGTCAAAATACATATTAATTTTTAAATCATAAATAATTTTACCACTTTTAGATTTTTATTTGGAAGAATAACCACCAGTCAGTTCCATAACTCCGCGGAACAAAATGATTTGATTTATGCTTAAACATCGTTGGAAAATATTTCTAAATTGAGTGCTGTGTTGCCTGAGTTTGTTAAAAAGAAATTTGTGGATAAAGTGTGTGAGCCTGGCTTGCTAGTGCAGAAGCCAGCAATCTACCAAAAGCGACACGTCATCGATCTCCATAATACAACAGCAACACTATATAACCTTCCAAGAAAGAAAGTAACATCGATTCATAAACATTATTCTTTAGCAACATTAATTTTCATGTTCCTGAGGTGGAGACATCAAAGGAAAAAACAAATGCTGTAAATTTAATTTAAAATCCTTTTCTAACTTTTATCTTAAAGCGTTTTTTAATATCTCTTATTTCTGTAGGGAGTGACGGGATTAACAGGAGGCAAAGAACCTACAGCTGCAGGATTGGCTTAAATTATGAAACTTTTCTATGTTAAGGTAAAAATCAATTTGACATTAATACATGTTTACATCTCCTCCCAGTATTCGAACTAAGAAAAATTTATTTTGTGGTCATTTTAGAAAATTTCAATG